GTATCTTTTATGCTCCACTCTTACGTTTTTTTTCTTCTTTTTTCTCCATTACAGTACATTTCTGTCTGTATTGTACCATTGTGCCGTACAGTATAATACATCATGGACGCACTAATGGTTCTGTGAAACGATGTTTTGAAAAAAGAGGCAATTTGCGGTGTGAATGAGGTTGAAGAAATGGGGAAGAAAGAGAGTGAGAACGGAAGGAACAGATTAACCGACATTCATCTGCTTTGCACCAGTGTTGCGCTTTGGAATTTGGGGGATTTCATCAGTCACCGTGTAGGAAGTTAAGCACTTATTTTCTATTTTTCACGTGGTCACCTCGACATTAACCGAACCAAAGTGAGCCGCGAGCAGTGATCTGTCGGACTGCAATATATAAATACATCCATTGCCACATCTCAAAGGAATCTTCTCAGACACCACCTATGGGGGGCACGTTTAGAGGTGAAATGGTCCGCGGGTGAACGTGTGTTAGAGGTCAACAGGTGAGGCGGGTCTGTAGTGTGTATTCTGCAACCCCTTCCGCCCCGCGCTCACCCCTCTTGTCTCAACTTCCCTCCGCCCGTCTGTCCCCAGTGTTCCAGCAGGACTATGGGTCGCTCCTGGGGACTGAAATCGGCTGCTCCTCCGGCCTCTTCACCAGCCAGGCAGGACAGATGCAAGGTAGGTGGACAGAGGACAGAAAAAGCAGATAAAGACGAGGAGGACGTTAACGTAGATTGGCCGCGGGGGAGAGGGGGGGGTGAGAGTGGAGGTGACAAATGAAAGAGGTAGAAGGGGAGAGACGGCGTCTCGAGTCTCGTCTGAGACTAAATAGTTTGTCAGGCCGGCTTAATGCCGCACTTCCCCAAAGAGCCTCCTGAGATTACCTGTGGACGGACATAACCTGTCAACACACCGCCCGGCTGATTGATGGAAGTGACAGGTGGTGTGTGTGTGTGTGTGTGTGAGGGAGAAGGCTGTTGATGTGTTTGAAGGTGAGTTAGTGTGTCTTTGGGGTTACAGTATTGAATTGACCTCCTCCCCGAAGAGAGAATAGACTCAAGGGATCAGCAGTAGTAGAGCTGTGCTCAGTGTGTGTGTACATGACAGTGTGTTAGTGTGTGTGTGTGTACATGACTGTGTGTGTGTGTGTGGGAGGAGGTGGGAGACGTGTCAGTGTCACAACGTAGACCGAGTTCATTTCATCTGGCTTTTTTTCATTAGCTTCATCTGCTCGTGTCATCTCCTTTCTGCCCTTTCCTACTCAAATTAAAGTAAAACATAATCTTAACGCTAAATTGAAGCTGCTCATTCGACATTTTACATTTCAGTAACCCAACGGAGTTGTACAATAATTCAGATTTAATACAACGGGGGGGTCATGTTTTTGTCACTTTAACCATCAGTCACACATCATTTTCTCACAGACTTACAATCGGATTTCTTCTTGCAACCAGGGTGGATGTACAAAACAGGTCCCAAGTTGTGACGAACTGGACTGGGAGTGAAAATGTGGTCTCTTTTCAGGGGAAACTGACTGAAAAATGTGCGTTGTCCGTTTCTCCTCAGGGTCACCGTACTACTACAGTGCAACATCGCGGGGGGCGGGGCCTGCCGCCACTGCCACGGCCTCCGCCTACGACCGCCACTGACCCCTCCAGCGGTCAGAAGACCAGGACGGGGGGGGGGGGGCGAGGGAGAGGGGGGGGTTGGTGGTGGTGGGGGGGGGGCAAGGCGACGGATAGCACCAGCACTGCACAGTGCCGACCTGGCTACGCACGGACGACAACGACAATGATTTGTGACGTCAGTGAAGTTTGAATTTTCTTCGACTGACGCTTGAGCCGACAAAAAGCGCCGCTGGGCCGAAGAACGGTTCGGTGGTTGCGACAGCGCTGTGAGGACACGGGCTTTCGGCGGCTGGCTCCCCGCGGATCGGGCGAGGTTACGGAGTCTGTGTTTGTGACAGAGCTCCCCGAGACTTGAGTGGACCAAGTGGTGATTGAAACGGTGCTGTGATCTCTTCGGTGGTTAAATGTTTGCGTTTTCAGGTTCCAAAAATATTATTTGATGGAATCATTTGAGGCGATTCCAGCAAAATTGCTTTTACAAAAAGTGTCTTTTTGTGCCGCCCCCCTCTCGCCCCCACCGACATCAATCAATCAATTTTCTATGCCACGCTACGGCAAAGTAAAGACAATCCAATTCTCATAACTTTAAATGACCAAAATCACCGCTGGCGTCACCGCTCTAGTCTCGCTACTGTGGATGCGACGCGTTTCCTGTGGGGTCACAACGCTCGCAGCCGGTTTCACCACACAAGCTCCCGCTGCTCAGCCCGCTCGCCTGTCCGTTACCGGCGACGGTACCATCAGCACCGTAAGGCGCCTCCCAACAGACAGAATCTATTGTGTGGACAACAAAACTGGCGCCCACGTCTTTGCTCTTCTGCTTTTTGGCAATTGAAAAAAGGCTCGACGATAAGTGGTCTCTCTCTTCGACCTTCGACCTTCGACCGGTGCCTCGACTGGAGGGGAAATCCTAAGCTTGGGGGGGGGGGGCGGCGGCGCTCAGTTGCGGTCGCCGAGACTACGATCGGATGAATCGGCGTGCCGGGGGGGTGAGCTTCAGTCGAGCGCTCAGCCCTGCCGCTTGCAGCCGGACGCCAGTGTGCGTCGCGGCGCGTCGCAGTGCGCCTGACCTCCACGCAGGTGCCACCGACCGACGGACAGGCCTTTCGGCAAAAGCACAGCCAAAAATCTGACAGAAACATTCACATCAGGCCAAAATGAAAAGAAAAAAAAAAAAGCCAGTGGTCGTACAGGAAGGTGCTACGCCAGCTCGCCGGCCGGGACGCAGTCAAGAGCTATTTATAATGGGAGGAGACACAGAGTAATATATTAAGGAGCTTTTTCTGCGCTGCACAGTGAATGCCTGTCGATGATTTATAATATGTGTCACGCTGTTGTGCTAGAGTAGTAATGATGATGATGATGACGACGCAGTGAAATATGAAATCTTAAAAACCGTTCCACGTGACGAGAAGTCTTTGTTTCTGAGTATGATCTGAGTTTCCTGTTTTACAGTTTGTGGCCAGGGAACAGCTGGCGCAGGTGCCACTCAATAAAAAGACAAAGTCATTTCAATCTGCTGCCCGGATAACGATAAGACCCAGCGGGAAGCAGCAGCACCCTCTCTCTCTTTCTCTTTAAACTCCCCAAAGATGGGCCTCCCCTAGTGGATCGGCTGACCAACTACAAAAGCACAAAGAGACTCAATCATTATTTAAAAGGCGCCATTTTTTGCTTTATCTGACTTCCTTTTAGAACTAGCACTTCTTCTTCTACTCGCCCTTTCAAGCGCACGTCCCTGTGCTTGTTTGGCATCCCCAAATTGTTTTTTGCAACAAACCCCCCCCCCCCCAACAAACAAGCGTTTGTCTCCTCCATCAGTTGTGCGCTGTGACAATGTATGCCAGCGGGGTGGAGGCCTTACCCGTCCCGTACGGACACGGCAGGACGGATGTGCCCACTCAGCGTTGATCAGAAATCAGTGCGTCCCCCCCCCCACCCCGGTGTTGGTCTTGTGTCTCAACTGAGTCTGAGTGCCCAGCTTCCTGTCTCACTTCTGTCCTTAGAGACTTGTACAGTAATCAGTGAACGAGAAGAGAAGTCACAATGTCAACAGCCGTTGCAGTTCTTCACATTTTCAAAAAAAAAAAAGACTAAGAGGTGTGTGGTGTTGTTTTAGCCATTGTCCTGAAATGTTTACGTATATTTTGTTGTTGTTTTTACTGGTACACGTGTGGCTGACCGCAGCGCTTCGTTGCTACTCTGTAGCCACCAAATCTGCAGCGTGCGACATGAAAATAAAGCTACCCACAAACGTATACCTATGACCACTGAGCAAAGCTGTTAGTTTTTCTAAATTGTTTTTTGTTTTCTGATATTCTGTAGCGATCGAGGGGACCCTTTTACATTTGTAGAGCCTAAAAGTTGTGCTGCACACACCTCTGAAGCAGATCGCTACGACGGCAGGAGACCGTCCTCATTCCTCTTTCTCTCCTCATCCTTTGAGGCATTATTGAACCTGAACCACACCAGCTGAAAACAAGGACAGTGCCTTTAGTTTTATATGTCACCCACCCCCCCCCCCCCCCCCTACTGAAACTCCTCCCACAAAAAACGCTGGCCAGGACAACGCCGGGGTGACCCTTAAACGACGCCCGCCACCAATGAGGAGCAGCCGGCGAGGTGCGGCAACTGGGCCCGATCCAGAAATGTGCAAAAAGAACAATCAGCAAACAGCATCATAGTGGCGCCAAAAACGACATGTGTTGGAAGAAAAAGTCTCCGCTTTCAGCCACCAATGGCGATGAGCAACAAAAGGATTCCCCTAGTGAATGAAAGAACGTTGGAGTCCCTATACCCCAGATTTTGATCCTGAAAAGGTTTGTTGTGAATAGACTGTAATGAAACTGATGAAACAAATCAGACGCACTAACATAACACAGGCACCACATCCCACGAAGCGGGGGCACGAATGTTTACAGGCTGTTACTTACATGAGCTTTTTGATTTATTAATCTCACCCAACAGGCACTTATCGTCCTTTGTCAACACCACACACACACACACACGCACAACGAGATATGGATTTAGAGTCGTTCTCCTTGAGGAGGCGAATCCAGCCGTGCATCTGCTTGGCCGCTCGCCAGAAGCTTGCGACACCAAAACGGGGCCCAAATTCCTCCTTGGCTGTTGCCGAGGATCCCAGCCGCACGCTAACGGGATTATTGGTTAGCCGCTGCATGTCGCGGCGACACAGCTTGCCTTTGCCACTGCTTTGACCTAATGGGCTCACACGGGGAGAGGCAGCGCAGCTCCGACTGGGCCTTCCGTCGGCAACCGTGACATTGACTGCAGCGGTGAGGGGCGGGTGGGAGGGGGGCCGTCACCGTGGGTGGTACTGTAGGGAGCACGGGCAGGCGGAGGCCACACACACACACACACACACACACACACAGAAGTATAAGTACAGACACAAACTGTCTTTGTCCTTAGCGGAGAGTGGGGATTGCCCCTCCTCTCCGGGCCCATGTGCTCCCCTGGGGAGGCCAAACCTGCTGTGCCATCAGAAGCCTTTTTTTCCTCCCCCTCCCTCTCTCCCTCGGCCATAATCTCATCACATCTCACGCACTTGCCTCCCCTCCCCTCCCCTCCCCTCGCCTCGCCTCCCGTCCTGGTAGCATTACCACACCACCAGGATAAGGAATATTAAAAGTACTCCGTGGGTTTCCGGCCTGTGACCTCCTTCGAAAAAATCCCACTTTCCTTTTTGCCCCCCCCCTCCCGCCCCCCCGGTCCTGTCCTGTCGATATCCTGCGGCGGTATGAAGCAGGGGGCCGAAGTGAGGTCATTTCAATGGCAACATTGCTGCCTGTGTTCTTTATCTGGCGGAGAATTTTCTGCGAGATGGCATCTTGTAATTTGCTTTTCTCCCCGTGCATCTGTAGAGAATTAAACCCCCCCCCCCCACAAAGAAACACCAGTTTCAGATCAAACAAAGACGTTTCATTTCCAGTTTACTGTCTATGAAATTCAAATGGCATCCCTGAGTTGTTGTTTTTTAATCCCAGCTCTGAATCAAATGGGAAACGGAAATAAAAATGCAAATTAGTTTGTTCTTTATTAGGATTTCTCAGCAAGTGTGCACCGTCTGACTGTATCTCAATATGAAATCCATGAAGATGGCTACTGCCTCCACCAAACCTGAGGGGATTTCAGCATCACATTTTGACAGCAATTAGTGGCACAATCTGTTTCATGCTTGCTCATATAACTAGGCTCTGGACAGATCTCACGCTGAAGTGTTACAATGTTCTTTACATCTTAATATTATTCAACTGTGGAAGAGGAGACATACACAGGACTCTGCCTACAAAAATCAACTGTGCTGTTTAAGCCGACGTTTCAATCAAAGTGAAGATAAAGAAAAAGAAAAATAGGTAACATGATTTTTCACCTTACTGTGGCCTTTCGTGTAACAATCTGGAGTTTTTTGTGTCCATGGCTTCCTATCTGGGATGTTGAAGAGATATTTATATCTGTGACGTTTCGTTAAAAAAAAAAAAGAGAAGAAGAAATAAATACAGCCGAAGGGTAACGATGAATTAGGTTTCAAACGCGACAAAAAGAAAACATATCTGTAACATTCACTAAAGCCTGTGATGCCTGTTTTAAATAATAGACTCTTGTACAAAAGAACCCACATATAAAATAGCAGAAAAATACTTACAGATACAAACACAAAAATGAAGATAAAGAAATGCCTTCAAATATTCTGGACAGGAGGAGTTAAAAAAAAAAAAGTTAAAAGAAATGCTTCTTTAAGAAAATGTGTATGTTTTTTATTCGATTTTCTAGTAGTTGCAAACAAAACTTGGTGTTTTTTCTCTTTGTGTGTTGCGTGTTGTCTTAATATTTGAATGTATTTTACTGCAGTGCGAATTTGCCAAAGATATCATATCAATTGATTTCTCTACTTTTATTTTTATTTTTTTATTTTCTTTGGTGGGGGGATTTTTGTTTCCTGAATTGTGATCAATTTTCTTCAGAAAACTGGAAATAAATGTTAAATTAGATATTATGCTTATTTTTCATATTCCTAACGTGGATATTATCGTTATTTCATTCCCTGGGT